TTTTGTTTATGTCAACAGCTTTGTGCCACAGAAGATGGCTGTAACAGAGCTATGCAAGTGTGTGTGTTGGTGCTGAATCAGCATGCTGTAATTAACTATCTATCTCAGCTAAAGATATCTGTCTTATCTGTGTCTTACAGCTGGCTTCTGTGCACAAGCTGGAACGGGGAGGACTTGGCTCTGCTTGTACCTGAAGAAGTATCCAGCATAGAGAGCGTTGATAGCTGAACAAAGGATTCATCTTCTTGGTTTTCTAATCTGACATGCAGTGGCAGAGACCATTATGTCATGCAGAGAGCATAGAGATAACACAAACAGTTGCAGATGCAATCTCAAAGTGGCCCTGCAGCAATAAGCACTAAATTGGTAGCACTCTTTATCCAGTCTCTTTTTAGCACTTGAATAAAGCTAGCTCTTATACTTAACTATACAAATAGGCTGGCAATGGAGATTTTAATGCTGCTTTCAGCATGAAGAAAAAAATAAGGTAGGATGATAGTCTCTTTCCACTTACCCTTTCTCACGTTTGAGAGTGTCAGCTGTGGATTGTGATACATCTTCTATCATTCTAAGAGATAATCTTACCAACTCAGAGGGTGCTGGCAGTTCTGCTGAAGCCAGTGGAGTTCATGCTGGCTAAGGATGCAGTCCACTGTGGACATCTTAAAAGGCCTGTCTTAATGAAGCCCACCAAGCTACCTAAAATTATTCAACTAAAAGGTACTTTTTTCAGAAAGCAACCAAACTGAAGGCAGTACTTGCACCTGCTGTAAGGAGACTTACTGCTCTGCGGTTAGCACAGAGCTTTTGTGCAAGTATGCTGTGTGAACCTTGCCTGTGACTTAGTTCTTAAAATGGATTTTCAGACGGAACTGTCATACTTGGAAAACTTCCAGCTTGCAGAGTGTGAAATTAGGCCTATGCCTACATTTTGCAGAGGCCATATTGTACATTTATTTTTATACTTTTCCATATATTAGGGACTGCATACAGACACCTCTGTTTTTTGTGCCATAGGTATTTCTTGTTTTCTAGTTAAGTTGGCTGTACTTAGCTTAAACGTTTCTTCTAGTGAAAGGCTGTAATAGCATTTCTTTTCAGTGGGTCTTTGATTATTTTTTTAACAACCTTGAAATGAGGTGACCAAATCTGAATCATGCATCTAATCATCTTGCAATGAATGCAGCATAATTTATGAGCACTTGAACAGCATTTCTCATCTTCAAAGCACTTTACAAATGCTATTAAGAGCCTCCTTCCATAATAGATATTATCCTCTCTGTTGCAGAGAGAGAGAAATCAACAGAGAGGACAAGTGACTTGCGCAGGGCCACAGTGCAAACTGGTGAGACTGCCAAGCCAGGAATCAGTTTCTGCATTGACTCTTCACCTTTTTGCTCGAGATCTTTAAGTAGAAATTATCCAGAGTATTAGCTTCTGGAATGCACAACACAGCAGAAATGTAAATATAACACTGTGTCAAGGACCACTGCCACGTGTTTTTTTCAGAGAGTTTGACAGCCGATACGTGCTGATCCCTGAAAGTACAGGTAGGTTGTATGTGATTCTCTTCCCCCAAAACAGATTAGGTAGAGAAATCAAAATGAAGTGGTTGACATTCACAGAGGAAAGTTCTAGGAAAGCAGCATGTGCACACGGCATAGGATGAAAATGAAGATGGACATAGCATATGCTGTATAATCGGTCATCTGCTTACAGACATTAACATCCATCACATGAACAGAGTACTTCTGTAGAATTTCTCAATGGTACTCCACCAAAAAATATTAGTACCACATCATAATGATACTGTTGTAGATCCTTTTTGTTTGAACGACAGCATTGTTTCCAAGCTATGTATGGTGATCACAGACAAGTTCGGAAGATGGTTCAAATAAAGTAAAGGAGAGCTTATACTATCCAGGAGACCACTATCTACCCGTCACTAGTGAAAACAGTGTTGTTCAGCCAGGACAGGGGGAATTAATATTTACACAGGTGATAACTATAGCCAGATCTTACACTTCTGTCCTCAGCTACCAAGCCTATTGTTGGCAATTAAAGATCATTAGCTTTTCCTAGCTGGTTTAGACACTAGTCAGTAAATAAAACTGCTTAACTCTCATCTCTTGAGGTGCCCAAGTTGCTGCCAACTTGCTGGAGAAGCAATTCTTAAAATAATCAGTGGGTCCAAAACATAATGAGTACTTGTAGAGAGATTAAGAAAACACTGATGTAAAGGATTTCAGCACAAAGATTACATTGTTTTCCTTGCCTCTTCATTATGCAGTTACATAAGGCTTTAGGAAATTGACCATTTCACATAAAACTGCCTGGAAAAAGTAAAGCACATGAAGAAGGGGTGTGTGCCTTTACTTCCTCGTCTTCAATGCACACTTCTGCTAGCACTCTGAGGGTAGCAACCAAGCAAGGCAGTTCCACAGTGGCATTCTCTTGGCCCAAATGAGAACATGCACATACATTTCAGGAATGGCTTTGTTATGGTTTGATTTTGCTGTAAAAAGTACTTGCTGTTTGTGAAGTATTTCGGGTAGACATGGCATTTACAACTGGCTTTAAGTTTAGGTCAAAACACATGAAGGATTTGAACTGTATTTTTCAAAGTGCCTAGCACAGTGAAAGTTGAGGAAACTAGATACTAATGTGCTTCAGATTATTAAATCAAAACCTTCCAAGTTTATAGTAGCTGCTCTGTTTGTATATAAATGCAAATTATTTTGGCAGAAATAAATAATGAAGTTTGGGTTTTTTTAAACTCTACATTGTATGTGTAGTTCTTGCATTCTTTTTTGACAAATGGCCAACCGAATGACCAGTGGAGGAATGTTCATGTAAACAGAAGCACTATGGTGTCATCTATTTTTTGTAGTCATAACAAACAAACAGGAAGATGTGCTTTTGTCTCCCTCCTGCACTTGGGGAAAGGATGCTGCCCAGAACATCAGCACCAAGAGGTGGCAGGGACAGCACTTGCTGTCTGCAAGAAGGCAGCATGGGGGCTTGTGCTGCATCCCTCAGACCGGGGGACCTGCAAGAGCGTTCCTCCCCTTGCCCAGGTTGGGTCTGTCCCAGCTACACTTGTCAGCACACCTTGCTTGGCATGCCTCTGCCAGTTGCTACGCACTTTCCAGCCTGGCTAACCCTTAAAATTAGCTTCCTTACTCTGAACATACCTTGATCTCACCCAAGATGACAATAAAGTATACCAATCCTTGAACAAAACCACCTAGAAATTCTATCCAGCCTTCCACTCTGTGTCTGCTCTTCGCTGCACTAATGAGAAACTCTACTAAATTACTTGTCTTAATGTAGTTTTGCTCAGATACAATAGCATCCGTCTTTCAACCAACACCGGGAAAGGCCAACTAGCTACATACACTGAGGTGGGGAGCTACAAGGTACCAGCAACTGTGTACAACTTAGGGATGGCTTCCTGTTTTCTGGAACAGTGCTGGTAGAAAGGCAGACCTGGAAATCCTCCTAAAAACCCATGCCCATATCTTAATTTGTCCCAGACCTGGCAAGGTAATCCCCCAGCCTTTCTGGCCTGAGCCTAGAGCAATGCAAAGCCTACTGAACCCCAAGCTTGCTTCGTAACAAGTTTACTTTTGCTTTATACTAAAATGCCAAGAAACTTGTCAATTATGAAATAGTAGCCAATTCTGATATTTAATAAAGTACATCAGCTCACAGAAAGACAAGCACAGCTATGGAAAATTAAATAGTAAGTCTATGCTTGCATGTTCAATTTATTGGTCCTATGTTTAACCTCACTAAGGCAAAAAAAGGCAAATAATTTGTATTTCATAGCACAAGTCTCTAATCTCTGCAACTCGCAAGTGAAAGAATTTTAGAAGCTTCACTTCTTAAATGAAACAAGTGTAAATACAAAATCACCAGTAAAGTATCTCATACTGTGTCATCTCAGTATTTTTAATTTGCTGCAATGTTTTGCAATAGATGCACATAAAAGCACCGTAAAATTTACAGGACAGAAGCTAGAGGCTTTCACCCACATGGACAGGGAATTTGTAGCAACTTAAGCACACTGAAAAGCACAAGAGATGCTTGGGACTGTGAAAAGAGGTTTATAGCAACATTTCTGCTCAAATGATCTACAACAGAACACTGAGTGAACTTAGCAGTTTAACCAAGTCATTAAAACCAGCTGAATAAAGACAGTTCCTGTGTTAGAAATATTGTTTCAAGCTCCCCTCATATGACAAGACATGACATCTTTTGCAAAGTCTGAACACAGACTTTTTATTTCTAAGATGCCATATCATATTAGCTGCCTTGCAGGATTTATATATGACACATGCATATGTATGACATCAGAAAATAGTTGTTATAACCCTGAATTTAATAGTGACACACATGCACTCAAGCACACACAAAAAAACTTTCAGTGGCCCACTCCTTTAAAGGATGTATTTAAGTATGCATCTCTCATTCTCCCTTAATTAAGATCTGATTTCAGTAAACCCACAAAAAATTATTTCTGTATTTGTCCTCTAGTACCACTGTATCTTCGTGTTCTCACTGCAAGAGCTTCATTAGGTACTGTCATAATTAGGCACTGCATTCTTTCTCAGTCTCTGAAATCTAAAATACCTAGATTAAGGATGCTCTCTTGGATTATGTTCCCAAATGGGTTTTAAAAACCCCGTTTCATCTCCTAACTGGAACTTGCTTCTGCTTTCAGAAACCAGAATATCCTCTCAGGGACACAGATGAAAAAAATCCAGACAATTAACTCCCTTCTTACAGCACTACTTCGAGTTCTATACAAAAGCTTAAACGCTCACTCACAAACAACCTGTCAACAGGGCGGGGAATAAAAATGTATGTAGCACGATTCCACTGGCAGTGCAGCAGTTAAAGATCTTTAAAGATATTGCAAGAAAAAGGAACAACACTGTTTGTGTTGTGGATAAGAGATTCTTGATTTATGATTAAATATATTTTGGAACGCAACAGCATTTATAGCAAACTTTTATTCAATAGTTTAAAAAGTGTATGGAAATTTTCATGAACAAAGAGTTACTCAATGGAAAATACCTTCTTTTTCCCCTTAAAAAGTTCTTCTGCAAGAACATTAAATGCATTTACCTACAGTATTCAGTTTTAAAATGCACGGGTATTTTTGGATTTCTTGTATACACATATAGCATTTCCAGAGTTAAGAAGCTATTGTCCTGAGCAGTGTATGAAAAGACATTTAAACTACCTAGTTACAGGACATTTATATAATTGACAACAAGCACAGAACAATTTATAGACTTTAAACATTTAATATGCCTTTTCATCAAGGCAGGCAAATCATAACTGTAGGACTGCTTAACACTGTGAGTGTCAATTTAGTATCATGTATTTAGATCTGCAATATAAAGACACACACAAAACATTTTTCTGGAGTACATTTTGTTACAATAAACCAAGCTTGTATTCCATCATCATGTGTGGTTCTCCCATAACCTCACTCTGTGAAGGATCTGGAAAAAAAAAAGTTATCGACAGCGTGAAGCTTTTACCAAGCTACAAAGACCAACAATAACTATGAACGTTACCATGGGTTTTTTTTTTCCTCCTTCACTCTAATGCTTAGTGCAACATTTACTCAACTGATTTTTCAGTGTTGCACAACGCAGGTCTGTAACTCCCAAGGCTCTATCCAAAGCAATCATCAGCTAACAGATACATCTATAGTGGAACAGCGTTCCATAAGGACACACACACTTCCAAGGAAAAGCAACCAGTTCTACGGTCTCCTACAGCCTGAATCTCAAGGCTGATTGAGTTTTGTGTTTAAGAAAACTCAAGTCTACTGAAGCTTTTCTTCATAGGTGCCCCACATCCCTTTCCAATGCAACTTCTCTGCACAACAGGAGTTCACACTCCAGCCCTTCTGTTAGTTGGGACATACTCGTGGTTTCTCTTCTCCACTTAACCACCTAGTCTCACAGACATTCTATGCCCTTAAGCATCTCTGAGATTTCTTTCATTCTGTAAAGTATGGTTGACATTAGCCACCATACTCAAAGATTAACAAGGAATGTGCAGAGGACACAAGATACCAATACCGCCAGTATAAATTTCATTTCCATACAAAAAATAAAGATTAAAAAACTAAACAAGGACAGAAAAAAAGGTTGTGACTGCACTTCGGAAGAAATACACCTTTCTTTATGGGTATATCGGAGTGTTTTCCTTCCATAAATAAGGCCTATTAATGCCTTTAATTCCCACAGACACACCAAAGTTTCTGGGGAAACAGACATACAACGTTAAGTGCCTATCTTCTATTCCTTTAGAAATCCAGCCTACAAGCAAATACTGGCTTACTCCATGTTTCAGAGTAATTTCCACACAACTAGCAGCTGAACCATTTATTTTCCCTCCCCTCAGTGCTTCTTTGCCTTTAGGAATTCAATTTTTTTCTTTTGAATGTTATGGAAACATTTAAAAGGTACAATTTGGGAACTCTGAAGTTCTTTGCCTCTAAGGAATAAGAGAATTAGATGCACAAAATACAACGTATTTACCATTAAGGATATCCTCAAAACCGATGCATTCATCATTTCCTCTCAGAGTATCCAGTGCCATGTTTGAGCTGTGAAGAAATGGGAGACGCTGGACCTGTAAAAAGACAAGAGTTCAAGTTTCTGCAAGTCTGAAACTGAGGGGGTTAATATTTGGATTTCTCAGTCTGAAGTGACTGAGAAAAGCAACAGGCAAAGTCACTTCTTCATTCAAAATCAACAACGAAATAAGAGAACTACTGGCATCCATAGATAGCAAAACCTACCCAGCACCACCATCTTCTATTGTTTATCTCTCTGTTTTGAAAAGAACAGCCTTTCACTAGATTTGTAGCTGTCACTGCACTGTAGCTACTACAGCAAATAGTATAATTTAAAAAAAAAAAGTAGTAGTTTGTTTTTTTTTCCCCTCTCCTTTGTTATCACATAAAGCTGGGGAAGCTCACTGCAAATGCATCAACACCCTGAGGTCAGTATTGGGTGACTGACATATACTGCAGTGTTTGGAAACCACATTCTAAGTTTCCTACATCTCTGACACAGGTCAGGAATGTAAGAGAAAGAGCTATATTGATTTTCACATCTAAACATAACCCTCCTTGCAATTAATCTAAATAATTTCTCTGATCCCCTCCAATTCTTAAACTTAAGTCCACTCCCAGTTACTTTCCACACTCTCTTCTGTACCCTTCACCCACAGTATTACAAAAAAAAATTTCATGTGGTACACACAGCATTCAGATCCTAAATATTCAGAGAATGGCATATCTGTACTTACTATTGCATTCACTACTAGCAGTGATACTTCAGTTATACAATGAACATATTTTGCAACTATAAAATTATCATGTAGCTATTTCTTTACACACAAAATATGTCAAAGATTTCCATAATCACTACTGGTACAATTGTCAGAAGTTCAAATACATGATTCCAGTAAATATTTTAGAAAAGTGAAATTAAACCACAGGAGAACTTGTATATCTTACATGAAGCTGGGAGTGAAAAACCTTCTAATCACTGTATTTTCCCCACCCATCCCCCAATACCTGTGGAGACACACTATCAGGATATCCTCACCTGCCTCATTTTCTGCCATGTGCTAACATCAGTTTGGTAAAAGATTTTTCCTCACAAGACAGCACAGCTGAGATCAAGGGATGTTTTCATACAACCTGTCTAACTTCCACATCTTCAGGACCAGTAATTTCTGCCAAGTTTAATGTAGCTCACTGTGGTTCAGTAGCACCTGATCCACTGGGAGTATAAAATTGCTCCAGCTCACTTGGGAAAACAACTCTTAATAGCTTGACAACCTTCAACAAGCCAAAAAAAGTTTACTAGGACCAAAGAGCCTTCTATGTTTCCTAAGCAACGAAGTCAGCTTGCCTCCAGCTACTCTCCATCCTAGGGGATAAGAAAGAAGGAGGCAGACTCAGCTTTCCAATTAGGAGTTAAAACCTGTGAACTTAACTCCCTGTAGACTTCCCCTGATCTTACAAGAAAGGCTGCAGAACAGCAATAAGCACATAGTAAATTCTTTTCCTCAGGTTTCATTTTACCTCTATATCCACTCCCAAATCACTACCTGCTTCAGATCCCTAAGTCTCTCTGCCCTATTGATACAGAGATTCCTTCCCATGAAGGTCATACATTCTACAGAGGAGAATATTAATTTTAGGAGTTAATACTCAATTGCTCCTGCTTTTTTCTGAAGGCTTACAGGAAGCTAGTCCACAGCAAAGCTAGAGCAGTTACCACTTCACCAAGTAACCAAAAAAAGAACAGCAGCTGAAAGGCTTTAGCATATTGATTGTTCTGGAAACTATTAAATGCAATGTTTGGTTGGCTGGCTTTAATAAAAGTAGTCCAGTGAAAGAATTTCTTTTGGAAACATAAGGTATTTCAACAAAGATGACTCTCTCAAACCATGTTCTGAGATAAAAAAAAATGTAAGTGGTTTAAGTTACACCAGTTGGATAAAAATGCCTACCTGTTTCACTGCTCTGAATTCCATCTGCAGCTTTAAAGGTGCATGGAGTCCTTGAATATTTCTGAGTGTGGCAAAGTTTGTTTTATCTTGATTTAACTGGAACTAACCACAAACAACATTGATTTTTATTTTAGAAAAAGTTACTTTAAAGTACAGCCATAGAAGAGATTTGTAACATCCTACTTAAATGAACATGCTTATTAAATTTATATGTAAAAATTCAATGATTCTATCATATCTGTCTCAAATGCACACAGAAGACAGTGATGCAGTAATATTTGTTCTATGAAACTGAAATTGCTTTTTGCTGGATTTTATTACAAATCTATAGTAGCAATTTTATTATGTTATTTTTGACAGCCAGGACACGTAACACCACCAAATGGTGTAGTTTTGCACTACTTCACATTACTACAATATTGTAAGCACGAATTGGAAGCTAAGTCTGATTTAAAGTAAGAACACAAACTTGAAAGCCACAATTGATGTTACTGTTAGCCATCAAAGACTCTACTTGAAAACACTTGAAATACTTCTTTTCTGATCAAGTAGGTAGACAGAGCACCATGCATCACTCCATATGAGCCCAAAAAGCAAAAGAAAGCTCATATTTTTACCAACTGCTCTAAAACTGATCAGTAAGACAAAGAAAATCTATTTAGTTGAGGGTTCTTTTAATGAAAAAGTGCTAGCTCATTAATACTGAAGTACACAAAAGTAACTTATGCTTAATGCTAAACTTAAGCTTGAGTAATCCAGTCTCAAATTTGGCTTTTATAGTACTGAATACATGCCTGTAATGTTGACACAATATAATACTGTAAAGTAAATCAAAAACTACAAATCCCTCTTTTAAAATCTGTACTCAATCATCATGACAAAAGCCTACTAGTACAATAATATCATCCTGTTTATGTGAAGGGATCTCAAAAACCAACAGGAAAATACAAGTGAAAGGCACAACATGCATTTTCTTCACAACAACCTATATTGAATGCTCTTCAAAAGTTAGCAGAAAGTATTGTTTATATGTCTCATCCCAAACTTACAATTCCAGTCACATTATTTTTCCATTTCTTTTATAAAATAAAAGGTAGGGGTCCTTATCTGAGTAGCAGAAAGATTGCATTTCTACTACTGCTCTACCTAAATAACCTATCATTTACGTCAGTAAACTGTAACTATCTCAGCCTAAGATGTATTTTCCCATGCAAATGTACATGAAAATAATTCTTAGATAATCAGCCATAAACTTAAGAGAAAAGCTAACCAAACAATATATGGAAAAAACAATTTAAAAGTTTCACATACTTCTTTAATTTCTGTGCACTTTTCTTCTAGCATGTAATCTTTTAATTATGCAGGTTTTATACAGAAAGAACTGAGTTAAAACTGCTATAGCAGTCAGTAAAAAAAAAAATCAATTGACAAATAGCTCTGAAACATTTACAGTATTTATAAATAAGCTTGTGAAGTTGGTGTCACATTAACATCATCCTTTTAACTCAAGACAACACTAGCACTGGTTAGAATTTAGAATTAGAATATATTAGACATTACATTCAGACCTTGTTATGCTGATTAGCTTTGAAATTTGGAACATTATATCCAAATACTGCCTTTGCTTCACTACATGTTGTTACATCAAATCTTCTGTGCTGACAAAACAGGCACCAGAGACAAGACTCAGTTCAACGAGCAATTTAGCCAAGGCTGTCTGTCTAGTCTCCCTTTACCTTCACCCTATGGTCCACAGACCACTCTTAAGTGGTCCACGAGCAATAACTAAGCTGGACAAGGCTGCATACTTTTATGACAAACTATGTGTAAAGCTTCTAGATGTGATCGGGTAATTTAATGAAAAGTATTTATGTGTTCACAGACTGAAAGTCTGAAAATGAAGATATATGGTACACCTATAGACAAAACGGGAAGATGAGCCTTCCAGAAGTGACAGGTGTGCTCCCAACCTAGCTACAGAGGCTGCATACACAACTAGCTTAATAACTTTTAGATGACTAAACCTTACTAAGTAAATCCGTACTTGGAAGCCTGCTTATATACTTGGAGAGAGTCACAAGTGCGAGGTTAACATTAAACAAATTTTCTACCGATGTTATTTGTATAAATAAAATGTTACTATTGTTGAACACCTTTATTCTGTTAAAGGCAAGACCTTGCTCGTTACTTGTTACCACACAAAACAGTCCAGGTAACCACATTGTTAATTTAAGCTTTAAAATTAGTTAAAAGTGAAGATCACTATATTTCATGTTATACTCACATTTTTTTCTGATAACTCCAGTGGGTGACTGGGTAACAATTCATTTTTCACACTTGTGAAGCTAGAAATACAAGTAAAAATTTGAACTTCAAATTAATTAGGATATTGTGTTTTTTAAGTTGCATTCCAAAATTAATCTCAGATACAAACATCAACCCACAGAGACACACAACTAGCACAGTTTGAACTACCAAAAAAAAACCCCCAAACCCAAACAAAACCTTAATAGTGAAGCACCAAATAAGACCTCTAACTACACCACTACCAGAAGAAAAAGAATTTAAATTTCAGGCATCCTTTTTTATTTATGTTTAACGAAACAGAATGACAGCTTTTCTTCCTTGACCCCCTTCAGAAATAGAGAAAAACATGCAACAAATGAAAACTTCATAGGTTTAATTATGTCCAAACTACATGATATCTGATTTTAGAAGTCTCCAAGCGTTTGCAACTGAATATTTTACATACCTGCCCCCCACCACTCATAGCTGTATTACCCGCATTTTAAACTCCATGCGCTTATTTTAGGTTCATTATCGAAGACATGTGCATAGTATTGCCCTCATGTAAAATAGCAAAACCCAAAAACACTTTTACTATATTAACTTTATTTTCTGTATCAATGCTGAAATTAACCATTTGCCACAAAGCTACAGCACACTTATATACATGTATAGTAAAACTAGCATATATTTTGTAATTATTAATGCTTTACCATCTCTTTTCTAAAGAGCAGTATCACACAGGTAAAAGTTCATTAATGTTATCTCCTTCCTGAAGTGATATTTCATGGAAAATTAACGCTTGAAAGACAATTTGATTAAATATGTGCACATTAAGGCTATAGCTTTTGTGATACACCTTCCAAGAATCTTCTTTAAAAAGCCAACATTCAAGACATACTTTCTTCCTATATCTGAAGTTCAATGTTGGCTATGGCACAAATCAACAAGAAAAAGTAAAGTGTACCCTCTACGCAGAAGATCATGACCTTCAAATGGTCCTGAAGCTGAAAATTCAGTAATTGGGACACTATCCTTCAACAGAGAAGAAGCACCTCTGGAATTCTGAAACAAAAAAAGCGAGGATTACTTTAACTGAACCAGACTCCTTTCGTATGGACCGTTAGGCCAGGCAAATGAAACAAAGTGCTCAAAGACTCGTTAAACTACTCATGTACAAGCCCTACACTTTAAAGTATCTTAAAACAAACAAACAAACAAAAAAACAAACACAAAAAACAACACCAAAACACAAACCCCACACCAAATTCTTTCAGAAAGTCTGGTAAGAGTTAAAAGATACTGACAACACTTTTTTTTTTTTGATCTGGCTGAAACAGTTAAACTCGTAATTACCCCTTGTTCATTCCCACCCTGGGCTGCAGGGATGGAAAGGAAGAAGGCATGTCATGTTCAGCTGACAGGACAGAAAGTAACATGTCTGAGCATTCCTTCATTTACTTCAATACAGACACAATCAAGATCAAATTGATTTTATCCATGGTTTAAGGCTCCCATAAAGTGGACAAGGTGTATTCAAGTGGTCTAGTATGCCAGTTAACTGAAAAAGCAAAGGAGAAACAGTAACTTGTAGCAGAAGACCAGAAGAACACACCTTCACAGACTTACTAAGTAAAGCCATCTTAACCTAGACAACTAATTTCATGCTAACCTGCCCGATTTTATTGAATTGATTTTAGGATTGTTCGTACACATTGCTCCACCACTAGGCCAATGTATACTAAATTCTGGAAGGTAACAGCAATGAGCTGTTCAGTGCAGGAGTTTCCTCCAGCAGCACTGTCAGATACAACACAAAATTTATGCTTACATTTAAGGTCTTCTGTACTAACATGTGAATCGTCAACAACCTAACATCTATTAGAAAACCCTAAAACACCTGTTATTACACGCATATAAAGCATCTACCAACTAACATACTCAACACTGACTAGACCTTTCTGAGATTGCTCTAAGTGAAAGCATTAAAAAGACACATTACCTGGAAGATGTAACAAGAGGGAAGATCAAAGTGAAAGTTAAACGTCAGGAGAAAACCATGAAATAGTCCCAAAAAGTAACACTCTCAAGTCACGCCAATGCCCAGTCCGTCTGAGCTGGTCACACCACTGATATGCACCACAGAGAATCGAGGCACGGCCTCTCTCCGCGAGTGCTGCCGCCCTGGCTCTTGGGGGGCTGGGGATGACCGGGGCTCTTGGCCTCCCCATCCCACCCCGCCCCCAGAAGGGCTTTAACCGCGGCCACGCACCTTTCGCGCCTTCCCAGCCCCGAGTGCCCATGAGGATGCCCAGCGGGGATCGGCCCGCGCAGAGCGAGGACGAGGAACGCCTCTCCCCTGGTGAGAGCCCCCAGCCCG